AATTTCTAATTGTTGTTTTGAACATATGGCTATAATAACTTAATAAAACATACATACACTTGTAAAACAATGCAGGGACATGATTCAAACAAAAACAAGTTAAGTTCTTATTTAGTTTATTTAGCATGTAATCATTCTCATCCAATATCATTAATTGCCTTTAGTCAGCATCAACATATTTTCTTAAGAAATTCATAATACATTTTACGTTCCAAGCAAATTCTAAAGTAGACAAAAGGGTTCCTGTTTCAGTGAAGCAGAGGAACATGGCACACTTCACACAATGCATGTCTCCTTCTCATTTACTTCTCTCTGTCTCTCTGCCCCCCCACATTAATGCATTTATTTATTGCTGAATGGCCTTATTTATTCGAAAAACCATTTCAGTAAACTTGAGAAGACCTGATGGTGGCAACACAATGCAATAAAGGGGTTGTGCACAGAGCTTGTAGTGGCAGCTCAGCAAGGTAACACTTTCTATGGAATCACACCCAAGCTTTCCTGGGATTAGTGTCACAGTAGGAAATGATTACTGAGCAGGTATAGACTGAACGACACATTACAGCCACCATTAACCCTCAACATGCATACATTTTACTCCAAATTGGTACCACTACTTAATTTTCTTTAGGTAATCAGTAACCTCAAATATTATATAACCATTATTTATGCTGCCATCCTACCTGCTACTGTGTGGAACTGAAAGTGAGGACCAACTGTTTGTATTGTTTTATGATATAAATGTCTTCATCAGAGTTTTCCTCCATGTTGTCTCCCTGTTTCTCCAAAACACTATCTGCTTTATTATCTCGGAAGATCAGACCAAGGGCCTCTTGCACAGTATATAACCTGCTGCAATAATCTGTCACTGAAATGGCAGCTCACTTACCTTTATAATCTTAGGACACCCCCAACCAAAATGTTTGTGTATTTCAACAAATTTCACTTGTGGCATTTATACTGCTGTCAAAAAGGGTCAAATACCACCATGTATAAAACATGAGTTTTAAACACATTACATTGTATTAAATAACATTATTATTAACATTATTATTATAATTTCAAAGGAATATCAAATGTGGTCATCAAAGTAACTTAATGAGTTAGAGTAAAAAAAAGTATTTACTGAAATAAATGACTAGAAAAACTTTCATCATATCAGTATGTGTTTCAATCACCATAGCAACCGGCTGCTTCGATTTGAAATGGATAACAGGTGAATCTGATTGGACATCTTCGACAGGCGAGCTCTGATTGGCTGTTGTCTTTTGGACCTTTCCTTAAAACCTGTGGTTCCACTCTCCCTGGTCTCTCTGATCTTCATCTGAGGTAAGTGATGCATCTCACTCTATTGAAGTATGTCTTTAGCCAGCATGCTAACTTATACAATTAGGGCTCATATTTTAAGTTTGAAATTAAACTAGTGTAAAATATCCAGTTGCTGCTGTTAAATGTTTCTAATGTGCTGGTTGCTTTCATGACCAACGTGGAAATATTGTTGCTGGCTTGTCTTGTGTTTTCTGCTGCCGATCTTTGATTCCTGTGGTCATTTTATGTTGCTAATTAAATGAATGAGTGAAAACAGGGCGCTAACGTGATGCTAAGTAGCGTTAGCTTGCCTCGGCCAGGTAGGGCGTGGCACTGTGGAAAAAGTGTCTTTAGCGCCGGACTATTTTCTCATCTCACTCGGTGAATTCATGGTTTATTTGGACCGGGCGTCATTGTGAGTGGTTTTTGGAACAGTTATGAGACTAACCGCGGCGGGTTCGACGAGTTTTATTTGGTTTTTGTGTAGTTTGAATGTTTTTGGCGGATAACTTCAGCTAGGAGCAGATGTTGCGTGAGTTACGTAGCCCCTTTAAGGAATAGCCGTCGGCCTACGCTTTTTGCGTAGTGATTGGGCGAGGGAGAGAGTGGGGGAGAGAGTGGGGGGGGGGCGTAAGTGTCTCGGTTGGCAGAGAAACTTCGAGAAGTTTGAACGTAGCGTTGTGTTCTCTGTTAAACTTTTGAAGAATAGCCCCACAATGGCTCCCGACGACGGCGTGATTAAGACCCAAGTAACATTAACTCGTAGTTCTGTGTGTGTGTGCACATGTCTGTAGAAAGTGTTGAGATTTTTTATTAATTATTTCATTGTGTGTTACTGAGAGCATGGGTATTTTGTGTTTCTGCAGCATGTTTGGATTCACGTTGTAAAAAGGTGTGTGCATGGAAAGTGGGACCTGCTGGCTTGTTGCTAAAACTGATGTGAAATCATTGAGACAAAGTGTAGTTACATGTTGATCTGTGATTTTGGTTTGTCTGCAATATAATGCACTGTAACTGTATCTGACTAGGTTCCCAAGTAACATTAACTTATAGTTCTGTGTGTGTGTGCGTCTGTGCGAAGTGTGTACATTTTTGCTAATTATTTCATTGTGTGTTACTGAGAGTATGGGTATTTTGTGTTTCAGCTTGGACTTTTTGCCATAGTCCACAGAGAGATGCTCCATGAGGAGATAAGTGAAACCTGAGCCAGTTCCTCCTCCAAAGGAGTGGAAGATGAGGAAACCCTGGAGCCCAGTGTACGAGGGTAGGGCACCAGGTTGGTCTGGAACTCGGTCAGGTCAATGTTCAGGGCACCATCAAAGCGCAGGGAGGCGATGATGGAGGAGACAATCTGGCCAATCAGCCTGTTCTGTCCAGGACCAGATCAATGATCTCCTTCCCAACGGTGTAGTGACCACGAGTGTAGTTGTTGGCTGCGTCCTCCTTACCAGTGATCAGCTGCTCAGGGTGGAAGAGCTGGCGGTATGTGCCTGTACTCACTTCATCTGAATAGCAACAACAAAAAATACTTCAGCCTTGCTCAGTTGTAATAGACCTGCTTGTGTTGTAACCACTCTCGATGCTTACATTTTGCAATAAATAGCATGCTGCTTAGTTACATTCATTAAATAAAAATTCTAGTCAAAATGTTCCTTGTTTACCGATGACTGTTGGCTCCAGGTCAACAAGAACTGCTCTGGGGACATGTTTGCCTGCTCCAGTCTCACTGAAGAAGGTGTTAAACGAGTCATCGCCTCCGCCCATGGTCTTGCTGCTAGGCATCTGACCGTCAGGCTGGATGCCATGCTCAAGACAGTAGAGTTCCCAGCAGGCATTGCCCATCTGGGTTTCGGCTTGGCCGACATGAATGGCTATACATTCGCGCTGTAGAGACAAAAGGGTGAAACAAAGGTCAGTCACCAGCTCAGGCCCTGTTGAATAACTGCTGATGTGCACATGAACCTGCACCATGACCCACCACAACAATTAGAAATGTCTAATTTCTAATTGTTGTTTTGAACATATGGCTATAATAACTTAAAACTCATTTACTTCTCTCTGTCTCTTTGCCCCCCCACATTAATTCATTTATTTATTTTAATACATGTCAATGACTATTTCACTTTGTACTCCCATAGTCTCTCTCTCTCTCTTTTTCTCTCTCATTTCAGATATCTCTGACCCCGGAACCTCAGGACAACAACTTTTACTATTACAATATCGCAGTCATTAATTAGGATATCAATTGTGCCTGTTATCAATAATAATTAATAGTCTTTACACTGTTGTTTACATTTTAACTAGTCAGATCTGTCTCCCCTACATCCCCCTCCCCACTATCCCTCTCTCTTCTCTCCCTTCTTTTCCACCCATCTCTCCTCTCCTTCCCCCATTTTCTTTGCTCACCCCAACCGGTCGAGGCAGATGACCGCCCCCGAGCCTGGCTCTGCTAGAGGTTTCTCTCTGTTAATGAGGGAGTTTTTCCTCTTCACAGTCGCCAAAGCTCTTGCTCATTGTGGGAACTGTTGGGTTTCTCTATATTTTGATTTTAAGGTCCTGACCTTCTATGTAAAGTTCCTTGAGATCATGTATATTATGATTTATCTCTATTCAAATAAAATTGAATTGAACTGAATTACTCGCTGAATGGCCTTAATTATTTAAAAACATGTCAAAGAAGCTGTAGAAGCCTTCAGTTATCATAAAAACTCAAAAGGTGTTTGGTTTGTCAAGTCTGGACTACTGTACAAATCATGGTGGCCTCCATAGAGAGGAGCCCCCTCGATGTAAAGTATTCAAATACAAAGGGCCCCTTCTAGGGTATAGAAAACAATTCATATATTTTGTTCAAGTTACAAACCATATGCAACCACCAAAAATTGTTCTGCTGCAGCTCAGCAAGGTAACACTTTCTATGGAATCACATCCAAGCTTTCCTGGGATTAAAGTCCCGGTAGGAAAGGATTACAGAGCTGGTATAGACTGAACGACATATTACAGCCACCATTAACCCTCAACATGCATGTTTGTATTTTGAAGCAAGAAGATGAGGAGCATTTCTGACTCGGTGACAACACTGCTGCTGCGGTCCACTTCAACCCTAAGAACATCTCTGTTGTGCTGGCTACTTATTGAAATGTTTCATGTAAATGATTGTTTTTATGGTTTAATAAAACAACTTGAATTGTAATGATGGAGTTGTATTTAGCAACAAATAGCATGCTGCTTAATTACATTCATTAAATTAAAATTCTAGTCAAATGTTCCTTGTTTACAGATGACTTGGCTCCACTCCAGTCATGTCTGCAGTTGAGTCACACTGATTGCCATTACTGACGTTTGCTTTTGTGTACTTTCAGGGATAGAGGAAGATGGCTGGATTCTTCCAAGATGTCCCTCTGCTACACATCAAACCCACTGTAGTCATTCACCAGAATGGTTACCTCACACCAAAGTCATGGAGTCTTAACCTTTCTTGTATGCTGCAGACTATCTGGTTTAAAATTGTGCTTATTGTAGTCACTTTATATTTCTAATATAGTTTATAATTGTATAAAACATTTTTATTTTATATAGTTACCTTCTAGTTTTTATTTAGTTTTTGTATAGACGATTAGCACGGGTTCACTTAACACAGTAAGATATTTATTTTCTATGCACATTTTCTGCAAATATTTAATGTTCCTGCACATTTTTAATGCCTCTGTATATATTGAAATCCTATGCAAATGTTTAATTTCTCTGTAAAAGTTTAATTTCCTTAATGTCTCTATACACATTTAAATTTACAATCATCTCAGGCCAATTTCTACATATGGTTACTGTGTTATAAGTTAACTCCAATGCATAAGTCAAGTCTAATGTATGTTTAATGTATGTTACTGCCACTGGATGCTTGATTTTCCTTTGGGATCAATAAAGTATCTATCTTCATTCGAGTACTTTGAACATTAACTATTTACCTTTTATATAAATATCAATGTAAGGAAAGCCATTAAATACATACAAATTAAAACATATTTCTCAACAAATCATAATTTATTAACTTTTATAAATGTATAAAATTTGTTTTATTCTATCAAATATTGTCAATGTATGTTTGAAAAAATAAAACCTGCCACAAAGAAGGCAATCTGCAGTTTGGTTCGATTCACATCCATGGACTTTGTGACTTACTACGGGAAACAGAAATCGAGTCTCATCAGCCTGGATGTCATGTGATCAAAATGCAGCTTTTAAAAATGTCTATCTCAGGGTCTCTCTCCTTCCTCTGAAAGGAAATGTCTCTCTGTGTGGAGCGCTGGCAGCAAGCACAAGGCCCCCATTCAAAATGTCTCCGTAGAAGAGATTTTCTAGATTTATATTTAATTTGTGCCAATCGATTCTTTTGTCCTCAATCGAACACACTGAACCTTCACATTTGTTGCACGTCATTGCATTGCATTCTGCACGGTGTGGCACTTGAACGCAACACTGGCTGAGCGTCACTTCCGCCTCCGCTCCCGCCCGAAGAAAACCTTACCGCCACATTGGCTCCTCCTACTTGAGGAGTATATAAATAGCAGTAGCTCCGCAGCCGCCACACAACGCTGCCCGCCTTCCTCACCCGATCATCACACCGGAAAGAAGGACCTCCGCTGAGTCAAGATGGTGAGCAGTCATTGTTGAAACACTGGACAAGCTAAATGTTACTATAATGCGTTATCTCGATGCTGTAAAACAAACGTGTCATGTCGGTGAAAAGCGTGGAAGTAGATTTTAAAGGATAAACGATGTGAAAACGTTGAATTGCTAACGGCCACTATTGTGCGTGGACAAAATGGTGCCCCCCCTCCCCGGATCCAGGCCACACTACTAGGCGCAGTTTGAAATAAGATAAAATACAGGAGGTAAAATAACCACCTCACCATCGACGTGTCCGACATGTTCGTACAGCCCGTAGAAGACGCGGTGTCCGTGCGGCACATTGTTGGGAGTGGTAGTGGATGCGCATTCTTGCAGCGGGGCCGCCATCAGATAACGCCCAGTCCGTGAATGTCGCACTTAAGGTCGGGCTTTGTCTCGATCGCAGTGGTGGAAGGCTGCCAGGTTTTTTTTAAAACACCGGTCATTGCTACTTTTTTCTTTTCTCCATTTTTTTCGGGGGATAATCTGCCGTTCAGAGGGTGGGGGATGGGAGTGCCGATCGCGCCACAGGTCCGCTAAAACCTGCGATGTAACTCAGCATGCGTGATCCTTCAGACCTAAACCATAACCTGAGGCTATACTTCTCCACAAAATGACCCTTTAATACCGAAACCTATATCGATTTTAAAACATTATAAACCAGTTTGATCGAATCAATTAGACTCTTAAATAGCATTAACTGTCAGAGTGCATGTTGTCGTTGCTTGTGTCCTGATGGTTAAAAATAAGATCCAGTGATTCTTACCGTTTTCTGTTTTTGCATTATCGACTAGATTGAGCCGCCTAAGCTGAGTGTGTAGTTTTGGGGACATCTAGTGGTGAAGTTGCATGTTGCAGCCGAGTACCCCACCCACCACTCCTAACCTGTGTTCAGTTGCGGATTAATTTATTCCTTCATTTCAATTCTAATAGTTATAATACAGCTTTTTACAATAAACTGCACTTAGACAGCAGTGTGCTATATTTATCCAATGCATATGTCGTAAAGAATTTTTTACTAGAGGCAGGTAATCACTCGCCACTGCAACATTTTCTTTTTATAAAAATCAAACAGCCATTTCCGACAAGTACAGGCCCTGAAATGCATCTGATGTGTTCTTTGGGCCAATTGTGTAAAGTGGGTCACAGTGCAGGTTCATGTGCACATCAGCAGTTATTCAACAGGGCCTGAGCTGGTGACTGACCTTTGTTTCCCCCTTTTGTCTGTACAGCGCGAATGTATATCCATTCATGTCGGCCAAGCCGGAACCCAGATGGGCAATGCCTGCTGGGAACTCTACTGTCTTGAGCATGGCATCCAGCCTGACGGTCAGATGCCTAGCAGCAAGACCATGGGCGGAGGCGATGACTCGTTTAACACCTTCTTCAGTGAGACTGGAGCAGGCAAACATGTCCCCAGGGCAGTTTTTGTCGACCTGGAGCCAACAGTCATCGGTAAACAAGGAACATTTTTACTAGAATTTTTATTTAATGAAAGTAATTAAGCAGCATGCTATTTATTGCAAAATGTAAGCATCGAGAGTGGTTACAACACAAGCAGGTCTATTACAACTGAGCAAGGCTGAAGTATTTTTTGTTGTTGCTATTCAGATGAAGTGCGTACAGGCACATACCGCCAGCTCTTCCACCCTGAGCAGCTGATCACTGGTAAGGAGGACGCAGCCAACAACTATGCTCGTGGTCACTACACCGTTGGGAAGGAGATCATTGATCTGGTCCTGGACAGAACTCGTAAACTGGTGAGCTCATTCTCATTTGTTAAATGTGCATCATTTTGAATTCTAAAATTGCAAATTATTTTAACAACCTTTTTTCCCCGCAGGCTGACCAGTGCACTGGGCTACAGGGTTTTCTAATTTTCCACTCCTTTGGAGGAGGAACTGGCTCAGGCTTCACCTCTCTGCTCATGGAGCGTCTCTCTGTCGACTATGGCAAAAAGTCCAAGCTAGAGTTTGCAGTGTACCCAGCTCCTCAAGTGTCCACAGCTGTGGTGGAGCCATACAACTCCATCTTGACCACCCACACCACCCTGGAGCACTCTGACTGCGCCTTCATGGTGGACAATGAGGCCATCTACGACATCTGCCGCAGGAACCTGGACATCGAGCGTCCTTCCTACACCAACCTCAACAGGCTGATTGGCCAGATCGTCTCCTCCATCACCGCCTCCCTGCGCTTCGATGGTGCCCTGAACGTCGACCTGACAGAGTTCCAGACCAACTTGGTGCCCTACCCTCGTATCCATTTCCCTCTGGCCACCTATGCCCCAGTTATCTCTGCAGAGAAAGCCTATCACGAGCAGCTATCAGTAGCAGAGATCACCAACGCCTGCTTCGAGCCAGCCAATCAGATGGTGAAGTGCGACCCTCGTCATGGTAAGTACATGGCTTGCTGCCTCCTGTACCGTGGAGATGTGGTGCCTAAGGATGTCAACTCTGCCATCGCCACCATCAAGACCAAGCGCACCATCCAGTTTGTGGACTGGTGTCCCACAGGCTTCAAGGTGGGCATCAACTACCAGCCCCCCACTGTGGTTCCTGGTGGAGACCTGGCCAAAGTGCAGAGAGCTGTGTGCATGCTGAGCAACACCACTGCCATCGCAGAGGCCTGGGCTCGACTGGACCACAAGTTCGACCTCATGTACGCCAAGAGGGCCTTCGTCCACTGGTACGTGGGAGAGGGAATGGAGGAGGGAGAGTTCTCTGAGGCCAGGGAGGACATGGCTGCYCTGGAGAAGGATTACGAAGAGGTTGGAGCCGACAGTGTTGGCGAGGAGGATGAAGGCGAAGAGTATTAGATGACTCATTGATGTTCTCTTCCTTCAATAAAGTTACAGCTGTTCTATTTTCCGTGCTCTTGGTTTCAGTGATCAACTGTGAATAAATCATCTGATGTGTTCACTCTGGGTCTTTCTAAACGCACTATTATTTTTGTAATTGCATTTGAAATGTAAGAAGCCTAAACTGAGGAGTATTGAATGACCAGTTCTGTATGTTCATTTGTTTTTTTCATTAAATATAGTTATAAATGTTACAGCCATTATATGTCCTGTGTTTACTTGGGTTCAGAAATCAAAATGAATAAATTGGCTGATGTGTGCACTCCGGGTTTTTATCAGCAGAAGTGATGTTGCATTTGGATTAAATACACCTAATGACACTTACCCTCATTACAATTTTGGTCTGCAGTAAAAGGTAACGTCTCTGCTGAATAAAAGTTATTTAGTTTTTAGTTATTGTGCACAATTGCATTCAGCAGTTGCTGGCAATGCAATTCTTGTGTCGCAGGCACCCTTCTTGCCACGCCTTAAAAAAAATTTTTTTTAAAAGGCATAAAATATGGAATCAGATTAAAAGTGCTGTAATAAATACAACTAAAATATAATTTGCATACTAAAAAGTATCTTGCTGAGTAGAATGAGTAAGTACTGAAGATGAGGAAACCAGAGGCTTTTCTATTTCTGTGTCATCAAATAAAATGTGAAATGGAGAAAATAATCCAATGAAAAAAACAATATGATAACAGATTAGCACAATAAACAAATGACCATTACAGAACAATCTGAATACAGCAACAAGTGGAATATTAAAAAAAATCCGCCATGTCCCTTTAAGGGTCACGTTGCCTGCGTCGTAACCTAGGAGACGTTTTGTGTATTTCCGGGTTGTTGGGCGTCGGAAAACAAGAGGGTCACCAACACGCCCGGGACACCGAGCAAAGCGGATTAAAGCCCAGCAGAGATGGCGGGGGAGGCTGAGGACGAGATACCAGGTCAGAAACAACCCTCGGCTCTCCGTCCGACCGTCACTCCGGCTCGTAACGAACCGTTTACAACTCAAAGAGCCTCACTTAGCATCACCGCTCGGCTAATCAACGACCCAGGCAGTGGTTAGCTTCTGCTTTAGCTCACTGGCTAACCGACAACGAACAACCTCCTTCCTCCGCTTCAATCTCTTGGTTATTTCTTGTGCAGTCTCTTTATTATGTGGAGTGTTGTGCTGTTGTTGCTATTTCTGTTTCCCTTTACCTCCTCCTCCACGGTTAAACGTTCATTTTGGAAACGTGCTCAACAGTGAAACATGAATACGTTTCCGATGCCTTTTAAAACCTCATATTACAATATCATAATACTTCCACTTAACTATATCAAAAGGTAATGTTGGGTTGGGCTTTATTCTCTCATTTAACAAACATTATCATACATTTATTTGTTTTTCACAAGTAATACATAACATTTCCAAGCTTCCTACAGAGCTTTATATATATATCTATAACTCCTGCTTCTTTATCCACAGATTACATTCCTAATTATCCATTCATCATTAATTGATTGGTTGGTACAGTTAGGAGCTTAATTGATTAGTCTGTTGATTGACAAATTAATTATCAGCAACTATTCTAATTGTTTAAAGTCATTATCAGGCAAACCTATTCAAACTTTAATAGTCACTTTTTATTTTTTAGGTATATACAACTGTTGATAAGATAAAATAAGATATTTGATTATGCCATCTTGGGTAATACTCACTGTTTTCTGATGTTTTATGGATATGTGATGAATTAATGAAGTGATCAATATCTGGACTTAACTTGTTTTCTCTTCTCACAGAATCAGGAGCAGTTTTTACATTTGGAAAGAGTAAATTTGCTGACAATGTCCCCAGTAAATTCTGGCTTAAAAACGACGTCCCACTCAAAATCGCCTGTGGGGATGAACATACCGCCTTAATAACAGGTAAGAGACACTGTAAAGGTTTCAAACTGTATCGGACAAGTGTTTGAAATGTGTTTTCATCAACCATGCATGCAAGACCTAACACCTGATACTTGGCTTTTCCTGAGTAGGACATTTTTCTGGTGCTTACTATGAAACTAATTCAAAGACTTTGTGTTTTGGTCTCTGCAGAAAATGGGAAACTCTTTATGTTCGGCAGCAACAACTGGGGCCAACTCGGTCTGGGATCCAAACTGACTGTGAACAAGCCGACGTGTGTCAAAGGTCAGTCTTTAAATAGCTCCCCGTTCCTTATTCATTACTTAAATGGAGTGAATATTGTGTGTTTCCACTGACAGCTGCTTTCAAACTCCTTCAGGAGAAGTGAAGAGGGAGTCATTCTTGATTCTAAACACAAAGCCCCATACTTGATAACATATCTGAAAGAATGAGATCTATATGTATGATATATGAAGATCTCTCATTTTTTAAATTCCATTATGTGAATTCTTATTTGCCGAGATATAACTAGGATTAGGAACATGAAATGTAAATGGGTAAAGAAAGAGACTCATTTTACATCCAGTCTTTTTAATCTTGAGAGTTCTGCTGAAGGGGAACTATAAATCCAATCCGGGGGGGGGTAGTAATCTGCTCTAATCTAGAGACAGAGACAGAGGGAGAGATTTCTGTACTGGTAATAATAAATAATACAGGGAGAAGCAGGTTTAAATAACTAAATTCATTCACCAATTATTAAACCTTTAAATTCATTAAACAAATGTTAAAAGTTTTGCTTGGAAAAAATGGAAAACTATTTCAAAACAACACTAATGTGTAAATTTCAGTATTAAAGTTATTTCCCAGTTAAAATGAAATAAAAAAGTTAAAATATACGCTAGCTATCCTAAATTAATACCAACTAAATTATCCTCTTAGTCTTAACTTTAAGACAGCATGGATGGGAAGTCCTAAAATGAATGAAATCAAACACCCCACTGAGCTTACCTGTCGTCCCCACGACAATTTAGTGAAGTCCATGGAATGATTGAAAGCACTGAATACTTCTAATAAGAAGACCTTGAGTTAAGAGTTTAAGAACTTTCTCAGATTACCCGTTAAACACTGTTTACCAAAAATATCATTCAAATAATTTCAGCTCTGAAGTTTGAGAAAGTTCAGCTTGTGGCCTGTGGAAGAAACCACACTCTCATCTGCACCGGTCAGTCTCTTTTGATTCAGTTAAAGATTACATTTGAAACCTTCCTATCGCCTTTTTTAAAAAAGGATTGTGTTTCCCCTGCAGCTCAGGGAAAAGTGTACACCTCAGGTGGGAACAGCGAGGGTCAGCTGGGGCTCGGCCACTGCGAGGAGAGGGCGGCGTTTCAGCGTGTCGATTTCCTGGATTCACACGGACCATTCAAAATGCTCGCTGCTGGGTCAAACACCTCCGCTGCTCTCACAGGTGAGACTCAGCTCATGTGAAATGTCATTTGAAATTTTACTACTTTTCATTCACAGTCAGTAAATGTGTTTATCATATGACATATTTCTGTACTGCTCAATAAATATCACAGATTAGTAAACATATAGTTTTTTTTCTCCTGCCTGTCACAGAAAGTGGTAAACTCTTCATGTGGGGTGACAACACTGAGGGTCAGATCGGTTTGGGGAAGGAGAGTCACGCCACCTCACCACAGGAAGTCAGCGTGGGACAACCGATCAGCTGGGTGTCCTGCGGATACTACCACTCTGCCTTAGTGACGGGTGAGCAGAGACAAGGTCAAGGGTCATCACGTTTCAGCTGACGATTCGCAAAAAGGGATGAGTGGGTGTAAGATAAACCAATAATATGACAGAAGGAAACATAAAACATCTCCAGGAAATCCTACAAATTAAATGATGTGGTAAATTATATACTTATTCTTTGTTTCTTTGTAAAATAATTAAGAAATTGATTTGAAACACATTTAATTGTGATTCTACCAAACACAGACAAATGAATAAACAAACTCCACTCGCTCATAAAGGTCATGAAGTATGGCTGAAAGTTCTGGAAGTGCTTAATTTTGTAATTTTGTTTCTTTTGATTGTGGTTTTGCTGTAAGGAACAAAACTTTAACCTATTACTAAATACATCCATTTAAAATAAAGGTGTCTCTCTGTGATAATTTGAAGGAAAGTGCAAACTTAAAGTTGGATCAAATATTTTTTTTTGCTATATGTCTCAGTTGACGGAGACCTCTACACGTTTGGAGAGCGTGACAGCGGCAAACTGGGTCTGGGCACCGGCCAGTTGCAGAGACACCGAGTCCCTCAGGTGGTGAAGAGCATCAAGGAGCCGGTGACACAGGTGGCCTGTGGGGGTGGACACACTGTGGCATTAACAGGTAACAGCCAACATGGGAGATGAACGCTGACCGCACAGGGTGTCTGCAGATTGAAAGCATGGTTCAAGACAGTTGAGGCTAATCTGATCATTTAGATTGTTCTGGTGCATTCATTCTTTTCAGATCTAATTAACTGGAAACACAAGAAGACCTCAGATACAGAAGATAATCATATTGATTATTTTATAACATAAATGTTTAAGTTCATGCCTTATTGTGTCTGCCGTCTCCTCCAGAGGACGACGTGTACACGTTCGGCCTCGGTCAGTTTGGACAGCTCGGTCACGGCACGTTTACATTCGAGTGCCGGCTGCCGAGTCCGGTGGAACACTTCAGGAAGGTACGGGTCTGTCAGGTGGCCTGCGGGGAGAATCACACTGCACTCGTCACTGGTAAATGCTTCCTGTTTTTATTATGTAGCCTCTGTTTCAGTGCATCATCTAAATCATCATCGTCCCAGTGTTTTGATCAAAATTCTGCTTTCTGAGATGCTGCTGTTCTGTTTCTCTTCAGATGGGGGTTTGCTCTACACATTCGGAGATGGCAGACATGGTAAACTGGGCCTCGGAGAAGAGAACTTTACCAACCAGTTCAAACCAACTCTGTGTCCACGCTTCCTCAAGTACAATGTTCAGGCAGTAGGTGTTTTAATAAGTAAAATAAAACATTTATACATATTTTTTTTATTTTATTTATCCAAATGTTTTAACTGACCACAAGTCTTTAGAATATTGACATTTATTATATTAGATTTTTAGTTAATTCTTTTATTGCATTTTATTATTTTTATGTAGCTATTATTTTGTTTTTAGGTATTTTATTTGAAGTCATTTATTTAATGAATTTATAAATATTTAATTTCTCCATTTATTATTTATTAGTATTTTTTTATTCATATTGTTTTATGCATTTATTTGAGGTATTTATGATTTATTTCATTTTTCACTATTACTGAAAATAATTTGGGTCTTAATGTTATTAGTAACATGGTTATTTATTATGGTATATATTACATTTTGTGATGGTTTTTTGTATGAGTCCAGGCTGTGTGCGGAGGCTGTCACATGGTGGTGTTGGCTCAGCCGAGGAATCAGAGCTGCAGCGAAGTGACTCTGGAGGAGGACGACGTGACGGAGGATTACCTGGAGAGGCCGTACGTGGAGCTGCTGGGGGACACGGGCGACTCTTCCATCCTGCAGAGGAGCCTCTCTGCTCGGGTTCGCCGGAGGGAGCGGGTGAGGGCACGGAGGCAGGATTATTCCATAGCTTTTAAACAAACAGGATTCTAGTTTCCAAATTTTGATACAAGGCAGCATTTTGTTCTTATCACACATGCAGAAACATTCTTCTTTGGCACGTGTATTACCTTGTGATTCCTGCTCATTCAAATGGTCTTTTCCTGTAGGAGAGATCTCCAGAGCAGTTTGGTACCATGTTCCGCAACCTTCCCACCATGAAACCCCCCAGCCACACCATCCCGCCCAGACTGCCTCCACCTGAGCTGACCCACAGAAAGGTGCTCAACGGCACTTACAGACACGGGAGCGCAGGGTCAAACCACCAGGGTACCTACCTCACCTCCTCCTCCTAATCCTCCATTTCATGTTTCATAAATATACAAATTTTAATTCAGTACTTGACACTGTGGGATCAGGGAGAATCAGGAAACATCCGGTGCAAAATTGGACATTAGACTAACATGGCGTGCCTTTTTTCTGTCACGTCAGCGCAGACAGGGGGCGATACAGACAGCCTTGTGGAGAGCGTGACCGACAACGACAGTGTTAAAGGTCTGGGAGAAACCACAGACTTCCTCAACATGGTGAGAAATGAGCTGATCCCAGCAGCTGTTCTTTATTTGACCTCTGACCTCAGTGAAGGTTCAGTAGATTATTTTCAATAACTTTTGGTTTTTTTTCTCCTGATAGACGCACGTGATGAAGATGGACCCCAGTGATAAAACACTCACTCTGTCTCCAGTCCAGAAGGTAACATTTCCTGTCATACACTTATCATCTGTCATATTTGTTTCCTAATATAAACCGGAAAGAGGCAGTCATCTTTTACACTTGGTAATAAAAGAGAGAAGAGACATCTAAAAGGAAGTATACATCAAAATGTTTCTTCCTCGCTTGTTTTCCTTCATCAGGTGGAATCTGTGGTTTCTTCCAATTTCTTCATACAGCACACAGTTCATCAATTAGTCTTGTGACAAGTATATATATTCCCATTAATATAACGTTATAACATTTCAGTCACCATAATAGTTTTTATAAAATACTTCAAAAATTGTAAAATGTTTTGCGTTTATATATCTACACATACATAGAAAAATAGACACTGATTATAAATGAACAGAAACTTCCTGAATAATTTCTGTTCTTATTCACCATATATAATCATCCACCTTTAACGGTATATAAAATATCTGCTTCGACTTCTCTCTTCTTCTGTTTTTTTCTTGTTTATAAATATCTGATTTCCTGTCTCTTGATTTATCTGCATGTCTCTTTCTCTCTCTCTAATGCATGCCTCTTTTTCCATCCTCTTTTTGCTTTCTCGTGTCGGGGATAGAGGAAGGGTGAGCATGGTAAGACCACTGTGGGACAGAAAGAGAACCAAACAAAGAAGAGAAACCTCTCGAAGCAGAGCAGTTTCTCTTCCACTTCCCCATCTCGTAGGAGCGAGACTGTCTCTCCTCGTCAGGCTATGCCCGCCAAGCTCTTGAGGAGCCGCAGTGCTTCACAGAGACAGAAGACAACAAACCTGAATAAAGAGAATCTGATGGGAGAGCTGGAGAGGACACCCAGTAAAAACAAACCTCTGAATGTAGAGGACGTGAGGAAGGCAGCATCTAAGCAGCAACCCAGGTCAGCTGAGGGTAAAAGCAAGCTGATAGAGGTTGGCAGGAAGCAGGTTCCAAGTTCTAAACAAAGTCCTGAAACAAAAAAGACAGCTTCAGGTGTTGGTTCTGTGGCCAAAGGTAAGCAAGCGCAGCCTAAATCTTTAAAAAGCAAACCCATAATCGTGCAGAGTCATCAAGCAGGGGTTAGTTTGCCAAGTAAACGCAGTCGGAAGGATTTGTCTGGCTTTCACCTGAGTGACGCCTTGGATGAGGAAAGCACGGGAAGCGTTCAACAGGTTTCCGGGATGAAAAGAGATCCTAAAGCTAAAGAGGTCTCCAATTTGTCCAAAAAATCTAAGAATGAGAAAAACAAAAAAGAGGCTCAGTCAGAGCCGCCAGATCTCGGTCTGTTCGCTGCGACCGCCTCACTCGCAGCCGGAACAGTGTTAGCACATGAAGTGGAGTCCAGAAGCCAGTTTAGCTCTCTGTCGTCATCGGAGAGCAGCCATGGTGTCCTGAAAGACAGCGTGAGGAAATTAAGAAGCGATGACTCTGAATCTGCCGATTTGAGCCACAAATCTGCAGTTAGCATCAACATTACACCTGCCTCTGAGAGTCCTGGGGTGAGGACGCATCAAGACGAGAAGGTGACGAGTCAGGATGAGAGCGAGGAGCAGACAAACGCTGCAACAGTCAAACAGGAAGAGGACGAGGACGAGGATGAAGATGAGAAGGGGCAGAGAACGAGTGCAGACATAAGCGAAGAAGAAGAGGAGGAGGAGAGCCAGAGTTCCGAGAGAGTCCCAGCAGAGGAAGAAGATGAGGAAGACAGCGACACTCTTCAACCTGAAGATGAATCGGAAACAAGCAGGGATGAGACAGAGGACGAGAGTGCTGCTGAGAAAGAGGAGGAGGAGGAGGAGGAGGAGGAGGAAGAGGCAGGAGGGAGTGAAAGTGAAGATGAGACTGAAGAGAGCAAAGGAGATGATGTAGAGGATGAGGAGGAACACGAGGAAGCATCCAGTCAGGCGACAAAAAGCAAGGGGGGAGAGAGTGAAAAGGAGGAGGAGGAAGGTGAAGAAGAAGAAGAAGAGGGGGATTCAGAAAGCGAGGGTGAAGAAGAAGAAGAGGAGAATGAAAGTGAATCTTTAAAGTCTTCAGAGGACAGAGAGGAGAGTGAGGGAGAGGGTGCAAGTGAGGGAGAGAGTGCGGTTGAGGGAGAAGAAGAGGAGGAGGAGGAGGAGGAGGAGGGGAAAAAGGAGAGTAGTGCTGAAGAGGAAGAGGGGGAGAGTACAGAGGAAGAAGAGAGCGAAAAAGAGTCTGAAAGTGACG